TGGAAAACCATCAGAGAGCGAGAGCCCACCCCTAGCGCTTGGAGCCAGCCTTTCAGACATGAGCTGCAAAATATATAGGCCTGCCCCTACTGGAAAAAAAAGAAAGGAAGACAGACAGAAGCGTCTCCGTCTCTCTCCCCCCCATCTACATCCAGACACCACCGGAGACATGGCGAGAGTAATTAACTATTTAAAGCAGAGTATGAATTTCTTTAGAAAGCTCGTGCAGTATTGTCTTGTCTCAAATTTCCCCATAGAAATATGAGAAATGATCAACTCACTGAAGGAAGTTAAAGAGAAACAAAGCCACTTAAGTTTTGCTCTAGGTGTTCAGCCAAAAACTGGAGATTGAAGCCAATTTAACCCATGAGTTCTACTTCTGAATACCTGTGTAAAATATTACTTTTCAGAAGCCCACCTATACATATATACATATAGTGTGGTAGTCACCTGCTCTGGATCAGATTCCTCAGTTGTAAAACAATGGCTAAACGCCAGTTCCACCCCAAATGGAGACACATTCATTCCCCTCTATCCCTCCTAAAGTGGTAGGTGGAAATCAATTGCTTGCTGATGCAAACCCCCAACCTTTGCTCTGTTCCTTCAAAGAGTCAAAGCTCCACTATGTAGCCTTAGTTAACCTTTTTTCCCCTAGCTAACGGTCCTAGCAAATGTTCCTGACAATCGCAGAGTAACAGGGACATTGTTTCTAACAAAACATTGATGTTGGAATATCATTTTGAATGTGATGATTCACCGCCGTTATATTGGCATGTTAGCAACAAATCTCAAGTGTTGGAAATCTCAAAACTTGAGCAAATTAAATCAAAACTGCTGGTTTGTGACGGAACACAAACTGAACAAGACAAGCACCGCCGCCCACCAACCCGACCTCCACGCCCTTACTTTCACCTCACTACGCAAAGGAGACAACTTCCTGCAGCGGCAGAATGGAAATAATTCCAAAAGATAGAGATATTTACACAGGAGTCTGAACCAGTAATGTATACACATTACTAACCTACACATTACAGTGGACATCACCTTGATAATTCATGTTTTACCATTTTATCTTTCTCTCTTCTTTATACCACTTCTCATTTCTGTGCTATTTGATCAACCTCAATAAATAAATAGACAACACGTCTTGCTTCAGGTCAACCTTCTGTTGTAGTCATTAACAGTTGTTAAGTCTGTTGGCTCCTTTAAAATCGTGCTACCTTTTGCTGAGTCATTCTCATTTTATCTAGACATGAAACTTCTCAGGGGTCCTGGAGGGAGTTTAGCTCTCCAAAGTTGGAATTTGTGGAATTTAATATCAGAAAATGTTTCAGGGGATACAGTCTCAGGGCTTTAAGTGTACTATGTTAGTAGACACGGAGAAACATCATACATTAAAAGGGTAAAAATGTGGATCAGAGTGCTGAATTTCTGACAAGAGTCTTTGGAAAGCACTGAATTTGGCATTTCAATACCCTCCATCTGGTGGTAGTGCTAAACACGACATCATATTTCAAAACTTTTTTATTCTCAGTATGTGTCTCTAATTGCTCACCAGGCGGTGTTTTTGGCCACTGTGTGCAGTCTCACAACACCAGCAACCGCACAGGCCCCCTTTTCAATAAGGTTTAAGTAAAATTTCCTCTTCGTTTTGGGTTTCAAAACATTTTTAACAGTGTATGGCCCTGAAAAGCTTAGAGAGACCTCAGTGCTATTTTTGTGGTATAACCTAGGCCTTAAGCTAAATCTTCACAAACTGCTCGTCCAAAAACTCCCCCAAAATCAGGTTTAAAACTGAACTAGTGTGAGACCAACACAGTCCTGCAACTCCAGAATTTCAGAGTTGGCAAGCAGGCAGAGTAACATTAGACCCTGGTTGGGTGGGAGGGGGGAGTGAGGGGGGTTTATGCTGTCGTGCCGGCGCCCTTGGCCTCCCCCGGCGGATCTGGGGGGTCAGGCGGCTGTCTGTGATCCCACACAGCGGCTCTTCCACATGGGATTTATTTTCTTGCTGGATGGGCAGGCAGGCGGCCCAAGAGGATTCTCATTTTAGACCAGCGTCTGTAGCTGTCAACGCCAGCCGACAGAGGCAAGCGGACACCCGACCCTGAGTATCCTCCCTCAACACTCCCCTTTGGACTCCCTCCCCTCCTCCTCTTATTCCCTCTTCACACACAAAAACACAGCACATGGACAGCGCGCGCGCGCGCACACACACACACACACACACAGAAAATAATGATTTCACAGCCTCTTATTGTCTAAATAAAACTTTTACTTATATTATGATGAGGCTGGAAATTATAAAATTAAAAATTCTAAATGATTGTTTATTCTGTTTTCATTTCAGGAGTCCCTATCTTTGATTGTAAAGCTCTGTGGTGAACTCAAAGCTTCAACGAGCAATGAGCCAGGTCTATCTAGCAAAAAATGCACAGCGTCTCCCCTTCCTCCCCAGCGCCGTTAATAATTTGTGCAGTAAAAGATAGCGTGCCTCTCTGAGTTTGTGGGAGTTATTGGCACAGTATTCCCCACCATATTTGTGCGAGGCAGTGATAGGAACATAAATTATTTCTTATCTCTTCCGCAATCCATTTTTCAAAGGGCTCACTCTGTGTTTGAAGGGTAGCACACCAGCAGCCAAAGCCCAGATAGTAGGCTACATTAGCCTTCAAGAGATCCGACTTAATGATTTCAAACAATGGAATAAGAACAGAAACTCATTGATATGGGCAGTGCCAATTATGACCATAATTTAATACCAAATTAAGACCCTGGAATCCAACAAAAGATCAAAACAATGGCCAGAATTACCACAACTACAAAGGCAAACACTGTTGTGAGGTTATTCAGTTAAATGCACAGTGGTATAATTGTGGATCTAAGCAGTAAGGACTTGGATGTTAAATGATGTTTGAGAGATTCAGCAACATTTTGCAGTAGACCAAAGTGTGTGTACCAAACTTAAAGTTTAAAAGAATTTACAATATATCACTGCATTGTTTTCTTTTTGTTTTAAAAAAATAGGGAAAACTGTTGTTGCTGTTTCAGGAATTAAAAATATTCCTTTAGTGAGAATTGCTAAACTAGCCGTGTTCTGTCCACTAAACTGCAAAATGATTGCTTACTACAAAGTATTACCACCAATTTACACTGAAATAAAAACAGTCCGTACTGATACACTGATGGCTTTGGAAAAAGGCGAAAAGATTCAGCCCTCTGAATTGTGCGGTTCCGAAAGCACAAGCAAAGTCCTTGTAAATCACATGAGCCACTTTTCCATAACGAGGCCCCTTTGGTGCTTACCAGAGGTCAAGAGGGTTCCTCTCTGTCGAAAACATGCAAAAAGAAACAAGAAATGTTTTAAAGGGAAATTTGAAAAAGTCGCATTATGACTTGGCCTGGCCAGCCCTGCATACACTGTTCTGGATGTTGGCATTCAAACCACATTGTTTTTTGGAAACTGTTCACAAGCGGTATCAACTATCACTCTCAGCAATTTAGATATATTCTACGGCTCAGGCTGATCTGCAGAGACAAAATGACAAATGATAAATATCAAACCGTCCTCTGCAAAGCATTAATGTCTGCTTGCAAAGAATAAACCCTAGCTCTCCCAGCTTCTATTGATTTTTTTCCCTGTGTGATGTGAAACCAGCAATC